GGGACAGTACACAATGAAGGGGAACTGCCTACCTGTGATGATTCGAGAAAGAGACCTGGGAGTGGACGTAACACCTAATCTAACTTCTGAGATACACATAAACAGGATAACGACAGCAGTGTACTCTACACTGGCAAAAGTTAGAACATCATTCAGAAACCTAAGTAAGGAGGCATTTAGGGCACTCTACACTGCCTACAAGAGGCCAGTCTTAGAGTATACTGCGCCATCATGGAGTCCCCACCTGAAGAAACACATAAGGAAACTGGAAAACGTTCAGACGTTTGCGACGATGCTCGACCCAGAGTTACGAGGGATGGGATATGAAGAGCGCCTGAAGGAAATAAACCTTACGACACTTGAAAAAAGAAGGGAGATGGGGGATATGATAGGAACGTAGAAAATGTTCAGGAGAAATTGACAAAGTGGAAATAGAAGAAATGTTCACACAGAATACTAACAGAACGAGGGAACACGTTCTGTTAGTATTTTGTGGAAGCTGGAGACTCAGATGAGTCACAAAGATGTTAGGAAGTTTTCTTTTAGCGTGAGAGTAGTGGAAAAAAGGAATGCACTTAAGGAGCAGGTTGTGGAAGCAAACTCTATTCATAATTTTAAAACTAAGTATGATAGGGAAATGGGACAGGAGTCACTGCTGTAAACAACCGATGGCTAGAAAGGCGGAATCCAAGAGTCAACGCTCGATCCTGCAGGCACAAATAGGTGGGCACACACACACACACACACACACACACACACACACACACACACACACACACACACACACACACACACACACACACACACACACACACACACACACATGTGCGTGTTATGTCAGGAGATTAGGGGTCTGACGGCTGAATAGACAGCACTCGGGATTCGAAGTCCTAGGGTCCGAGGATCGATCACCGGCAGAGGCGGAAACAAATGAGCAGAGTTTTTCACCCCTGTTCACCTAGCTGTAAATAAGTACCTAGGAGTTAAACAGCTTCTACGGGCTGCTTCCTGGGAGTGTGTGTCTGTGAAAGGGGGGGAGGGAAATCAGTTGATATATTGACAGCTGAGAAACGGGCCCAAAGAGCTAGAGCTCAACCCCCGTAAGCACAACTAGGTGAGTACACATACACACACATTAATATATTCATAATTATGATGCATTGCAACTGAAAGTTAGTTTCAGCCCAAAAAATGCAAGCATACCTTTAACATTTGTTTTTATAAATAAATTAAATCCTGAATAAATTTACGCAAAAACATATTTGTCCAAATTAACTGTGTCCTTTTGTAAATACATTATTCTCAGCATAAAATACCATGCACATTGTTCACATTTTTTTTATATAAATGTATTACTGCACTACGGTTCAGCTATGTGATAATTCTTTAAGATTTTTAGAAATGTTGATGGTTGCTGGGTACTGGGAGGCGACATCAAACGACTCAGTCTGAATACCTAATCTTTTTAAGGGAATTCAGAGAATTGTCTGATAAACTCTGGACAAAAATTACCGAACTCCAGTTGGCTGTTATTGTATTTATTACTATTATTTCAACATGTTGAACATTCCATTTTCGGCCGTAGTGCGCATTACCTAGAAATTATAGTACTCACCTTAATGTACTCGTTTATTTGGTCTTGCAGGGAGAGCTTTGGCTCTTTGAGCTTTTTTTCTCCGTCAGCTTTTCAGCTGTTGGTCGCAAACCAGAATAGCTGCCAACTCTCCTGCTTACTGCTGTACCTCCTCTTGTGACTCTGGACCCATCCGTACTCAGAAGATGTTCTAGTGACTAGTCCTTGTTCTCTGTGACACTGAAGAAGCCCTTTCTTGCACCAATCACTATGGCTCATAGTTTACTGCCTCGTCCTCTCGTCCTGCTACTGTAAATATTTCCGTTATGTCCACTTGTCAATGGCTCTGAAGATTGTATGATGTCGTGATCATGTCTCCTATTGTCCTTAACGTTTCCTGCATTGAGTGATCAGTTTGTCTCAACTCATTGTTTGTAGCTCACTCCTTCAAGTTTTGAGACGTGTCTTCCAGCGCTCCTCTATAGTTCCTCCTTGTTGTACATGTTATTGTACCAGGTTGACCTGGTGTGTGTGTGTACATGTTATTGTACCAGGTTGACCTGGTGTGTATGTGTACATGTTATTGTACCAAGTTAACCTGGTGTGCGCGTGTGCACATGTTATTGTACCAGGTTAACGTGGTGTGTATATGTTATTATACCGGGTCGTCCTGGTATGCCAGAGATTTATTAGTTTCCTTATATTTATGTTGATATTTGTTTGGGAGGTTAATGAAGCCGTCGTCATGTTTGGGAGATTAAGCGAACAATGGCTTTAACCTCCATAGCTCTCCCTTGGATACGGAGAGCTCAGTAAGTCGGGTGTAGGCTTCCTGTACCCTACTGTGGTACCCCATACTGGTACAGGAGATGTGAAGCTCAGCAAGTCGGGTGTAGGCTTCCTGTACCCTACTGTGGTACCCTATACTGTACATGGGTACTGTCCCACACAAGCTATCTGCTCTTCATCCAGGTATACAGTATCTTCACCTCTGGCTTACAAGCAGGCCTACTAAGATTATTTGGTCAATAAATCGTGTTCTCTTTCAGCTGGCCACTGGGCTCTTGCAAAGTGCAATAGCCAAGTCAAGATCATTCTTGAAGATCTTGACTTAGAGGTGTTGCATGCCATTCCTTGAGGCATCTTACATCTGACCCTGTGCCCGCACGAGTATTTACACACAAGCCATTCACCAGGGTATGGCTTGTGTGCTAGCCGGGACTCCCTCTCAGCTGCCCTGCTGGTGATGCACGAGTATATATTTAACCGGAGTATCTGCCATGATGCTTTCATGTAAATGTTAATTGAGTTTCATATCATGACTGTCAGTGCGTCCCTCTATCCCTGTCACCTGGTCCCATCGTATGTTTGTTCCCCTGTCTCGCGATCTGTCAGTTTAACTCCCAAGTCATCTGTCATAATGTCTGTCTGTCAGTCTGCCTCTTTTTTGCCTGTCTTTGTATCTGTTGTCTACCTGTATTTTTATATGTATGTTGCCTGCCTACCAGTGTTTGTGTATGTTGCCTGCCTGTGTTCGTATATGTTATCTGCTTGTGTTTTTATATGTTGCCTGCCTGTGTTCGTATATGTTATCTGCTTGTGTTTTTATATGTTGCCTGCCTGTGTTTGTGTATGTTGCCTGTCTACCTGCGTTTTTATATGTTGCCTGCCTGTGTTTGTATATGTTGCCTGCCTGTGTTTGTATATGTTGCCTGTCTACCTGTGTTTGTGTATGTTGCCTGCCTGTGTTTGTGTATGTTGCCTGCTTGTGTTTGTATATGTTGCCTGCCTGTGTTTGTATATGTTGCCTGTCTACCTGTGTTTGTGTATGTTGCCTGCCTGTGTTTGTATATGTTGCCTGGCTGTGTTTGTGTATGTTGCCTGCTTGTGTTTGTATATGTTGCCTGCCTGTGTTTGTATATGTTGCCTGTCTACCTGTGTTTTTATATGTTGCCTGCCTGTGTTTGTATATGCTGCCTGCCTGTGTTTGTGTATGTTGCCTGCCTGTGTTTGTGTATGTTGCCTGCCTGTGTTTGTATATGTTGCCTGTCTACCTGTGTTTGTGTATGTTGCCTGCCTGTGTTTGTGTATGTTGCCTGCCTGTGTTTGTATATGCTGCCTGCCTGTGTTTGTGTATGTTGCCTGCCTGTGTTTGTATATGTTGCCTGCCTGTGTTTGTGTATGTTGCCTGCCTGTGTTTGTATATGTTGCCTGTCTACCTGTGTTTGTGTATGTTGCCTGCCTGTGTTTGTATATGTTGCCTGCCTGTGTTTGTGTATGTTGCCTGCTTGTGTTTGTATATGTTGCCTGCCTGTGTTTGTATATGTTGCCTGTCTACCTGTGTTTTTATATGTTGCCTGCCTGTGTTTGTATATGCTGCCTGCCTGTGTTTGTATATGTTGCCTGCCTGTGTTTGTATATGTAGCCTGCCTACCTGTTTTTGTGTATGTTGCCTGCCTGCGTTTGTGTGTGTTGCTTGGCAATCTTTGTATTTGTTGCCTGCCTGCATGTGTTTGAATATGTTGAGCCTGCCTGTATTTGAATATGTTGCCTGCCAGTATTTGAATATGTTGCCTGCCTGTGTGTGTGTGTGTTGCCTGCTTGTGTTTGTATGTGTTGCCTGCCTGTGTTTGTGTGTGTGTGTTGCCTGCCTGTATTTGAATATGTTGCCTGCCTGTGTTTGTGTGTGTGTGTTGCCTGCCTATATTTGTGTGTGTTGCCTGTCTGTGTTTGAATATGTTGCCTGTCTGTGTGTGTCTATGCTGCTTACCTATATTTAACTATGTATGTGGTTTTATTTTTGCATTGTCAAAATGTTGTCAATATGTGCCAGTTCTGTTATACCTGGAACATACCTGGAGAGGGCCTCCGGAGTTCTTCTACTCCCCGAGCTCAACTTGAGTAATAACTTGGTCCAACAGACTGAGCGGCCCGCAGGCCCACATTTCCACTACAGCCCAGTTGGTCCGGGACTTCTTGCAAGAATTTTTCTAAATGATTCTTGAAGACTTTTGCCGTTGTACAGGCAATATTTTTAATGCTTGCTAAGAGAATGTTGATTAATTGTGGACCTCTGATGTTCAGTGTTTTCTGATTGTGCCTATGGCGCACCTACTGCTCACTGGTTCTATTCTGCATTTCCTTCCGTATCTTTTGCTCCAGAATGTTGTTATTCTACTGTGCAAATTTGGGACCTGGCCTTCAAGTATCTTCCATGTATATATTATTTGATACCTTTCTCGTCTCCTTTCCAGAGAGTATATCTTGAGAGCGTTGAGACGATCCCAATAATTTAGATGTTTTATCGTGTCTATGCGTGCTGTATATTCTGTACTCCCTCTGTTTCAGCAATCTCTCCCGTTCTGGAAGGGGAAGTGAGTACTGAGTTGTACTCTGGCCCCGCACAACGCCAGTGATTTATATAGTATTAGCATTGCAGTGGGGTCTCTGGAATATGTTTGCTGTATCTGTTTCTGTTGCTTCTTTGTGTCTGTTCTTTTCTGTTTAGTACTAGACTTTTCTTTCTGTTGCCTGCTTGTCTTTGTGTTATCTGCTTGTCTTTCTGTTGCCTGCTTGTCTTTCTGTTGCCTGCTTGTCTTTGTGTTATCTGCTTGTAAGTGTCTTGGTTTCTGGTGCCTATGTCTCTTGGTATGTATTGAAAGTTTGTGTTTGTCGCTGTATATGTTGCCACATAGCTGCTGTTTGTGTCTGCCGTTGTATGTGTAGTGTCAGCCTGACTGTCTGCCGTTGTATCTGTAGTGTCAGCCTGACTGTCTGCCGTTGTATCTGTAGTGTCTGCCTGGCTGTCTGCCGTTGTATCTGTAGTGTCTGCCTGGCTGTCTGCCGTTGTATGTGTAGTGTCAGCCTGACTGTCTGCCGTTGTATCTGTAGTGTCAGCCTGACTGTCTGCCGTTGTATCTGTAGTGTCTGCCTGACTGTCTGCCGTTGTATCTGTAGTGTCAGCCTGACTGTCTGCCGTTGTATCTGTAGTGTCAGCCTGGCTGTCTGCCGTTGTATCTGTAGTGTCAGCCTGACTGTCTGCCGTTGTATCTGTAGTGTCTGCCTGACTGTCTGCCGTTGTATCTGTAGTGTCAGCCTGACTGTCTGCCGTTGTATCTGTAGTGTCAGCCTGGCTGTCTGCCGTTGTATCTGTAGTGTCAGCCTGACTGTCTGCCGTTGTATCTGTAGTGTCAGCCTGGCTGTCTGCCGTTGCATCTGTAGTGTCAGCCTGGCTGTCTGCCGTTGTATCTGTAGTGTCTGCCTGACTGTCTGCCGTTGTATCTGTAGTGTCTGCCTGACTGTCTGCCGTTGTATCTGTAGTGTCTGCCTGACTGTCTGCCGTTGTATCTGTAGTGTCTGCCTGACTGTCTGCCGTTGTATCTGTAGTGTCTGCCTGACTGTCTGCCGTTGTATCTGTAGTGTCAGCCTGGCTGTCTGCCGTTGTATCTGTAGTGTCTGCCTGACTGTCTGCCGTTGTATCTGTAGTGTCAGCCTGGCTGTCTGCCGTTGTATCTGTAGTGTCTGCCTGGCTGTCTGCCGTTGTATCTGTAGTGTCTGCCTGGCTGTCTGCCGTTGTATCTGTAGTGTCAGCCTGGCTGTCTGCCGTTGTATCTGTAGTGTCTGCCTGGCTGTCTGCCGTTGTATCTGTAGTGTCTGCCTGGCTGTTCGCCCTTGCCTCTGTTGTCTGCATAACTTTCACCCCTTTTATCTGTTGTCTGCCCTTGCATCTGCTGTGTCTGCCGGACTGTCCTCTTCTCCGGCTCCTCTTCACTTCCCCTCTCCCCTTAATTACATACTCTCCCAAATCACTGATGGAAACTGCAAATGAATGAATGTTTTCAAAATCTTTCCTAATTATAACCTTCCCCTGTCTCTCTCTTTGTTGACCTTCCCCCCTTGCTCGCGTTAAAATTCCATTAATTCTCACAATCTCTCTCTCCATCTTTCTCTCCTCTTTTTTTGTTTAACTATGATTAGAGATCACTAGGGTCCTCGATTGAAATACCTAGTGAAACCGCAAGCAAGAGCTGTTACCCTACCTCAGCTAATGTGGCGCCTGCTCCTAAGAGCAGGTTTTCTGTAATACACACGTCATTAAACACAACAGCATTGTGAGTATTATTTATTTTGTTTCGGATATTTTCCATTTTACGCAAATATTTTCTACCATCTAGAGGGTGAAGAAATACTAGGTCACTTAATCTTTCCATTTTTTGTTTAGTGATGTGGGCTTCTGGGGACAGGTTCGGCGTGATATCAATCACCAGATCTTTCTCTCTATTTGACTCTTGCAGGATATCACCTCCCAGATGGTACCTTGTGTTCGGCCTTCTGCTCCCTTGTTGTGTTTAATGACGCGTGTAATAGAGAAAACCTTCTCCCAAAATATACTAATATAAATATATATGTGTAAATATAAATATATATATATATATATATATATATATATATATATATATATATATATATATATATATATATATATATATATAAAATATATATATATATATATATATATATATATATATATATATATATATATATATATATATAATATATATATATATGTAATTTTTTATATATAAGGGGTACCACCTCTGGTGCAAGTGTAGAACCCATAGCCTCGGAGAAGAAAATAAAGAGTACTCAGAGAAGACCTTGTGGATCCTCACTGAACACTTCGATATTTTCTTCTCCTACCACCCCTATTCTTTTGGGATGTGTGTATATTTATCTAACTTTATTTGAAAATGTCATTACACAAAAAAAGTTATAATATTGATTACATGCAGGGTACACGGCTGCTTGTCACAAGCTGAATAGTTCCTCCAGCTCTTCAGATAGCGGGCAGGAACCATGGATGCAGTGAGCATTTCCTCTCTGGATCGCCACACTAAGGCGCTGAAAAATATATTTATATATATATATATATATTTTATATTGTGACGATAATCTCTTTCAAGAGAGATTGAGCTTGCTCTTCCCTACATAATTCACGTCATTCAAGTACAAGATACTATATTGAAGATACGTCCACCAGTATCGCCAAACGTTTTGCCCAGGAAGCAAAGCGTACCTTGCACCACCAGACACACCGGCTCCCGCCCACCGTCAACGAGCAAACTACCCATTCTCCGCCTGCCTGCTCCTGATTGGCTGGTGTGTCGCCGCACCTGCACTCACGCCACTACCTGAGTCGACGTCTGGGCCAGCACACGCCGTACTCCTCAGAATATTTCTTTGCTCTTTGGAGTTGACATCTCTCTCTCTAGTAGACAAAGCTCTGGCTGTCATGTACTAAGGGAGGTGGCAGCTTAAGCCAGTATTCTCAGCACCTGATTAATATTACTTGCACTTCATTTTGTTTTAGAGTAAATTTTACAACCATTAATTATTCATGTTATTTTGTTTGTTGACTTGTTTTGAATTTTACGTAAGCCAAGGGATTGTCTTTGTTCATATCTTGTTTTCTAGAGTAATTAAAATTTCATTGTTTATACTTTGTGTTTTGTGTGTCTTCCCATTACCTTACCAAAGACAAACAGGCAAGCAGGGTTTCTTTTTTTTCTGTAAATGTGACGAGGCATTGCCCCCTGCCATTGAAACAGCCGAACATCAACACTCCAACACTTTACTGTCACAATATATATATATATATATATATATGCGAACAAGCCTGAATGGTCCCCAGGACAATATGCAACTGAAAACTCACACCCCAGAAGTGACTCGAACCCATACTCCCAGAAGCAATGCAACTGGTATGTACAAGACGCCTTAATCCACTTGACCATATATATATATATATATATATATATATATATATATATATATATATATATATATATATATATATATATATATATATATATATATATATATATATATATATATATATATATAATAGAGTATGTGTGTGTGTGAGTTTAATATTAACATTATATTGTGTACACAGAGAGGAGAGAAAAGGATTCATTGTTTAGTAGAAATCCAGATTACAATCCTTTTGACCATGTCGTCGTCTGGGCCGTTTGAGCCTGCCAGCACCCACCACGAAGGTTCGAATCCTCATCACGGCTCCTACGGATTTTTTCATTATTTTCTGTGTTATATTAGTATTCTATTTGAGTTTGTAATGTAGGTGGCTCTCAGTTAACTTTCCTCCCCTTATAATATTCATAAATTCCCTCACCCTTCTCATATTAGAAAAATTTCCCCTTTCAATACTTTTATAATTTTCACTTATTTTTGTCTTGTTACGTTATTTATTCACCCCTTTCCTGTTACCTCAGTTACACAACAATACCCCCAGTAACACTCCAGTAACACACCAGTACTCCAATAACACTCCTGTAACACACCAGTACCCCAGTAACACTTCTGAGATACCAGTGGTGAAGCACCATGGCTGATAAGGAAGACTTCATGGTGTAGCAGCCGGACGAGCTGTGGAGGACCCTGGTAGACAGTTCTAAGAGGACCTGAAGGTGTTCAGGGTGGAGAGCCTCTGTAGAGAAGAGGTTCTTAGTAATTACTTATGGAGAGTCGGTAGAGCGTTTGTCATTAGCGTGCAAGACGCAATGGAAGGTGGGTGCCTGACCATTTTTATATCAAGGAACATTCATATTAATGTTTATAGTGATACAACCATAGACTAGATTTCCTTGTGTACACTTAGTGTATATTTATATATGTTCTACGACTGATAGGGTGAAAGTTACATTTACTTATGCTGAATTTATAGAGTTAAAACTGTAGGCCGAATTACCTGCAGATATATATATATATATATGTTCTGGGGCTGATAGTGCCGTAGTATATGACAAGATTTAACCCACCTAATGAGGTTGATAGCATAAGTGGCGAGCCAGGAGTTGGACTACAACTTGAGATAAGCAGCTGATAGTCCCGATGGGATTGGATGCAACCTGATTGCAATAGCATAGAGTGTTGGAGTTATTATTGTATCTTGTGTATGTTTGTATATGTTCTCTGTATATTCAAAAACAGTGGATTGAGGAGATCATACCACATAAGAAGAGAGTGGGGAGTCACGGTGGCTTGAGTGGGTGTGTGCACGTGACAACGAGGTCAGTACAGTACTTAAACGCGTGACGTTGAACCCCTCTCCAAGTGCCAGAAGTGCCCAGGGTGATCTGGTCAAAATAACCACTCTCCGGGTTTTGGGTATGGTTGTCCATAAGGAAGGACGACCAACATCAACGACATAATAAAACTGGTCTCCCATTGTCAGAGACAGGAAGCCTGTTAGGCTTATCTTAGTCCCTCTAGGCCTACTGCTGACCGTTCCTAGGACGCCTTACACAACAGTCGTCTACTTTCCAGGTAACTATTTACTGTTAGGTGTACACAATCACGAGGTGTAACACACACAATAAGTGTCCAAACGTGTCGCTCTGCCTAGGACTCGAACTCGGGTCCAACCGGTTGTGAGCTGACTGTGCTACAGTTACTCATTCATTTGAGGAACACCGGCTCAGTCCTCCCCCACTACCCGCAGCACCACAGTCTGCTGTGGCTTTCAGTGGCCTGGAAACACTTCCTGCCAGTCACTGATCACTTAGGTTACACACAGCTTAAGACTGTCACTCCCACCGCTACTAAATTGTCCTTCCTTACCAGGAGAATATCTTCCCAAGTTGCGGTTGGTAACACCCACAAGGAGTAAGACTAAACGGACTCCGTTCAACACCTGGGATTCGAACGCCGGCGCGTATTCCCGCTATATTCATAAGGAAATTGTAAATTCGAACGGGTGATGCAGTCGCTGGTGGCCGTAAGTTCTCATTTGTTCTCGCGTTAACAGCATGCCACACAACACGCTGGTGACGTCCCCAGACCAGCGCTCCTGTGCTCCAGGAATGTCCCTGGAGAATTTCCTTCCCTGCGTTACTAATTTAGCCTTAATGACTAGGGTGTTGAAATTTCAGTTGTTTTGGGTAGAACGGTCTATACTTTGGTGCATCCACAATCGCTCTTAGTGCTGTTGCTGTTGTTAGAGGACGGGTTGAAGTGTGAAGGTTTAGCAGAGGCTAGTAGAAGCATGTCACAGAAAACGGGAAGGATTCATTCTCCTGATTAGTTCTATAAAGTGAGCTTTCGATCTGTAAATTGTGTCCATTACAATTTATGCGGCTAATTTCAAGTTAACAAATTTACATTTTCCTTAAGTTTTGTGGTTTAAAATGTAATATTTTGCACATGAATGTCAAAACATTTACATTAAATTTTTTTTGTAATAAATATAAATCTTCCAAACTTTTAGTAAGAGTTTACCCACACCTGCTACCTATTACCAAGATTTTCTGGGGCCAGATTCATGAAGAATTTATGCCAGTTGTTAGGAAACTTGCTCTGCTTACTGCCTTCTCAGCAGTTAAGTCGCGATTCAGCAGTGTTTATGAACACAAATCTTGGTAACAGCATACTTGGGACCACGACGCCCGCAGACCAGTCCCGGCGTTACGTGAACCGTTCATAAGTGAAGTTTTCTTGACTTCACGACCAGGAACTCTTAATACCTTCATCTGTGGATACCGTTACCACAGATATATATACTTTGTGTGTGTCTGTTAATCCTACTAAATATGAAATTTAGGAAAAGATAAAACTAGCATATGTTACGATTGCCATCTCGTTCAAACCTTTCCTAGCTTCAAGTCATTTTCC